GATACTGCCATAAGCCGGTCGCGCTTCTCTGATAATCTAGGACTCTAGCTGGGACCGGCAATGAGCTGGTTTCAGCGCCTCTCGAAAGTGGATGTTGAACTACTAACTAGAGAGACCAATCAGAAGCACGCGTTGGACGGAAAGCGTGCTTCTCATTGGTCTCTCTAGTTAGTAGTTCAACATCCACTTTCCAGGGGCGCTGAAACCAGCTCATTGCCGGTCCCAGCTAAATCGCGGGCATGGCCGTTCTCAGGATCCTCTCTGGTCTGACGTCGTGAGAGAAAAGAGGTTATGTTTGCCGTCATGCTGGTCGTGCTTTTACAGTGATGTAAAATATAAAAAAAAAAGAATGTAATGTCACGCTCCAGAATTTTGCAGTACGGTATACCGTTTATGATCTTCATCATCGGTGGATCGTTCGGCCTCCGAGAATTTACGGAGTTACGGTAACTACGCCCCTGTTGAATGAGGGATAAACTCGAGTCTCGAAGATCCCCGCCGCCAACACATTTTTCCTTATCGAGATAAATTTTTAGTTACAGATACAAGAGTACGAGTGAAGTTAAGTTGCGCGACGAATTGGAAAAAAAGGGATTTCAATTGAAGCAACCGGAGGAAATCACTTTGGAGAAGGAGTATGAGAAGTTGGAGAAGGTATGATGATCAGCTCGTGACTGAAACACAGTGGATAAAGCTTGGGAAATATACAAGCAAATTAAGATAAGCTCGTCCTTGTAAAAAAAAAACAAATAAATTAAGATTAGGCTAAACTAACGAGCTTATTTAAACGAGGATGAGGAGCGTTATTATTATAACAAAATTGTTAATAAGAAAGATAAACGTTATTTATAAAAAAATTAGCACTACACGTGGTACATGTTTCAACTTTAGATTGGTCTTCTTCAGCCACTTCATGAATAATTACAGATAAAATATTACATAATAATAATAATAATACATAAATTAATGTTATACAATTTTGTTAGAATAATAAACATTATCCTCATTTAAATAAAGCTCATTAGTTTGGCCTAATCTTAATTTGCTTGAAAATATGTTGTGATAAAATTATTGTCTATACAATATTTATTATATATATATTTTGTGTTTAGATCGATCTTGACAACTGGGAAAACATTCGAGTACCACGGCCATGGGAGGAGTCGGAAAATGCAAGAAATTAAGTATGAGTAAAAATACTTTTAGCATAATGTGATTGCTGTATAATTGACAGAAACAACATGTGATTCTTAGAATGAACATTTACATGAGTGTATACAAGGAGCAAGGGGAGGGAGCACTTTTCCTTTGAAAAGCATATTTTTTATACACAGAAAGAAGCTGAAAATATTAAGAAAGTTTGCAGAAGATCCTTAAAGACTAGTTTTTAGCTTTTAACAAGTTTTGTGTAAAAACAAATTGCCCCTCTCCCTTGACTAAAATCCTGGATACACCCATGAACATTTATAATTACTTTATTACATGAAGATCACTAGTTAGATATTAAGAAATAAATATATTAGTTCTTCATGTAGTCTATTTTGCTGTGATCTAATTAAAAAAAAATTTATTAATAATTGACAAATTTTTAATTGACATAATTAAATCTATTCATAACAACATTCAACAAGGAGCAAGGGGAGGAAGCACTTTTCCTCTGAAAAGCATTTTTTTTATACAGAAAGAAATATTAAGAAAGTTTATTGAAGATCCTCAAAGACTAGTTTTTAGCTTTTAACAAATTTTGTGTAAAAACAAATTGCCCCTCCCCCTTGACTGAAATCCTGGATACACCCATGAACATTTATAATTACTTTATTACATGAAGATCACTTGTTAGATCACTTGTTAGACTTGTTAAGAAATAAATATATTAGTTCTTCATGTAGTCTGTTTTACTATGATCTAATTAAAAAAAATTTATTAATAATTGACAAATTTTTATTTATAATTAAATCTATACGTAACAACGTTCATAATTTTTAAAGAATATTTCAAATTTATGATTACAAATGATTATATGAATGTAATGCAACATATGAGAAAAGATCTTCACCTCATAAGTCATATAGAGATCATTTCAAAGGACTCTTGCTGTGTCATTAGAAAATTGAAGTATTAAAATTTAGACTAATGCTTAATCGATATTTATATATATGGCAGTGAAGTAATAATATAGTGAGAACTCGCTGCTCTGCAGGATTCATTTATACATGTATAACTCAAACTCATTTCAAATGAATCAATCATTTATCTGTTATCAACATAAACGCATTAGTTATCAGATCTTTTTCTAAATACATTCGAGTTTTTAGCTCTTTTGTAGAACAAATTTGAGCATTTGTCAATACTTATCAAACTAAAATACTGATAGCACACTCTTGGTCAATAGTAAATTATCCGGTCTAATACACTCTTTTAAAATCAGTGTTTAAGAGACGACCTGTGAAAAAAATTTTAAATTACATAAGCTCTGAGAATGATAAAGTACGATATACAAAACTTTTATAAAAAGACGGTGTCGTCCCCACGGTTTTTGCACAATTCTTACCTTTTTTGAAATCCGTACATACTTAATAAGCTTTGTTGCCTGGGAACTGATGGTGATTTACTTTGACGTAATTGCTTCCTTTTTGTTACTGAATTAACTCTACTTTTGGGTGATACCTAAAAAGAGATTTCACAAGTAATTAATTGGCATGTCCTATTGATTTGTAAAATTGTTTATATATACAGGATTCGGCCGAATAATATGTACATACAAGCGGGCACGACCGTGATTTCTTATGAAAAAATAAGAAAAAAATATAGAATAAAATTTTTTTATCTTCGACTTAGTTTTTGAGAAAATCGCGGGTTTAAAAATCCGCTACGTACGCACGCTGTTACAACTAAGGTACGGTTTGTTGAGCGACGCGTATAACGCATGTCGTGTTTATGAACAATGTCTATACGGCATTTGAAAGTTACTGAGTTCAGAGAAAATTTTTAATGAACAAAATTTTATTTTATTAATTACAGAATTGGTGCAAAAGATCCATGTTCTAAAAGATCTCGCTCCACTCTGTTCTTCGATCGGGAACACACCGATTAGGATATCGCTTTGTAATAGCAGATGAATTACTATTAAGAGGCCAAAACCCGAAACAAACTTCATGTTCGCATAATTCATCGTCGTGATAGCGAAAGCTAATTGTTCGGCACAGTAGAGCGTTATTTATAAACACGATACGCGTACACGATTCGCTCGGCGAATCGTACCTTAGCTGCAACAGCATGCGTACACAGCGATTTTCAAACCTGATTTTTCTCGAAAACTAAGTCAAAAATAAAAAAATTTTCAGGGTAGGTATTCAAATTTTGTAAAAGAATTCCCTGAAAATTCCCGGATTTTCCAGGAATTTTATTCAAAATTCCAGGTAAGATTAGAGAATTTCTCAATACACCTTCAAAATAAATTAGGCACTAAGAGTTTTAATAACGTTTAGAACTTGATGCGTGAAACAATTTAATCTTCTCGTATGTCCAATAGTTACATCTCCATACACAATTTTTCGAACGTAACGAAAGATTTTGTATGGAGATGTAACTACATATGTGAAGATTAAATTGTTTCACGCGCAAAGTTCTGCGTTATCTCTTAATGCCTGATTTATAATTTTCGGATTATCATTTTTTTAGATTAAAGAGTCTTTATATAGTATATGTCAATTTTAAAATAAATTAACTTTCAATATCAGGCCTTCGATATGGGCACACTTTTACTTTCTAAAAGGATAAAATTAAATTTAAAAATAAAATTCAAAAAATTTGCCTGAGTATCAGTAAAATTCCATGAGAATCCATGATTTTCAAGGGTAAAAATGAAATTCGTCGAGAATTCCAGTTTTTCCCGGTAATACCCACCCTGATTTTATTCTATATTTTTACTTAATTTTTCATAAGGAATCACGAATATATTATTACCCGTTTGTATATATTATTCGGCCGGACCTTGTATATATAAATGTACGTATATCAGTATTTACCAGATTCGCTGAATTTTGCTTCTTAAACATATCTATATTATAAGAGAAAGTTCGATCATTTTCTGTATTTGACCATTTGAACAAATTATTTTGCAAATTCGCATTTTCATAATTGGTTATATCATTAGTAGCCACATTAAACTTTGATACTAAAAAATGATCTATTATACAACTTTCATCAGTCGTTATTTGTGCCATTGATGATACATCGTCTATCCTATCGTTAAGGTTTGATCTTTCAGGAGCATTTCTGCGAGTATCTGTTATACAATTTTTATCAGTCGTTGTATGTGCCATTGATAATACATCGTCTATCGTATCGTTAGGATTTGATCCTTCAGGAGCATTTCTGTAAATGTCTGTTCTATAATTTTTATCAGTCTTTGTATGTGCCATTGATAGTACATCATCTATCCTATCGTTAGGGCTTGATTTTTCAGGAATATCTCTATCAGTCAAACAATCGTTTTCATTTGATAAAAATGCATCATCATTTTCCACCGAATTTGCATTTTGTATAACGTCTGTTACAGACTTCGTACAGAATGTTTGTAACTTTCTTTTTAATTGTTTCCGACCTATGTCATGTATATTCGTGTTCATATCTGGACTCGTATTACATTTTGTACTTTTCAAATTGACTTCGATTTCTTTATTCTCCGGCTCAAGTACGTTGCGCTCTTCAGTATCTTGTTTTGAAAAATATTTGCTTTCCACTACATCAGTATTTTCATCTATGATCGTTCGCCTTATGCGCATTAAATTTTTTCCTCTCTTTCGACAGTTCCCGTTGGCCAAAACGCTCGGTGAAGTTGTAAGATCGGACACTCGTTTAATAAACGGATTTCTTTGTCTAACTAATTCCGGTGACACATTAATTCTCGATAAAGATAAATAATCTTCCGATTCTTCGTCAGCAGCATTGGCGATTGGCTTAGCATCTCGACTTGAATTATACATATCCAAAATAGCAGTATCGTTTAAATCCTGATACTCGGGTGGCCTGTCGTTTTGCATAATTGAGCCGTTATGTGAATTTAATGAGACTTCCTTTAAAGATTTTTTTTCTCTAGCGAGCTGCTTTTCAATAACAATTGACGAATTCAATTTATTTTTAGGAGAAGAGTTTTGATATTTTGATTTATATTTGCTTGACCAAATGCTAGTTTCAATCATCATTTGTCCTGTCTTTGCGTCTCGCTTTCTTTTTCGATCCTACAATGAGTAATTAAGATGTGTGGCGAATGTTTTGAATTTTAATTATTACAGTACTATATTATTTCTAATGATCCTCTAATAATTTTGGGACAATATAATATGACAATATAATTTTATAAAATAATTTTGTAACAATGTAAAAAAAAAATAATTTAACTACTTACTATTTTGTCTGGATTAAAATCATGAACCGCTTTTAAAGTAGCTGGATCGCAATTACCAAGAGCCAGCTGTAACGCGAGATCCTCATCCAATTCCTTCCCGGCATATCGCAGCTGGTCCTCAGTGATATCAGCTGGGGGAGGATTCAATCGTACTTGCCTCCTTTGCAACGGGCAGAATACTAATTGATGCTTAAACGTGATATCGGCTAATATAAATGCGTCTCTGTATTCCTGTGTCACGGCCGATAGTGATTTCATGTTGAGAACCGAGCCTATACGTGTCAATGCCTTAAAAGAAAAAAGACCATTGAGTTTACTTAATTAGATCAGAGGAACAATTTTCCTTTCATATTGTCATAAAACACGTCATAAACACATTTTGTTCTACATTTACAATTTTCGTCGAGCTTTCTCTTACTGGCTAAAGTTTAAGAAAAGTGCTTTACTGCTAAATTTGGCATAACAACTAACTCTGTGTATATTGTGATCTGTATTTCTTGTAATGAATTTTCGTGCTTTTCCCAAGCCGATACCGGGAAGAGAAGGAAGATAGTCGCAGCCAGATAAAATACAGATATGGCGGAACTTGTCCATGTCAAATTCTTCTGGTCTTACACCCATTGCCAAATATAGCCGATCTTGCTCGATCAAAACTCCATTTCCAGTTAAGTCCATCTTGAAGAATATCTGTAATAAAATGGAGCAAAATATCTTTCATTAATCAATGAATAAAAAAAGCAAGTTTATCTATTTTTTTAGGTTTTTTAAAATTGATATCCAGCAAAAAATTAACGATAAAAAAATTATTAACACAAATTCTTATAAATTCATATAATTCCTCAGTACTACTCTATTATATATTGTTAATAATAAAGCTATAGAAAATAAAATTCAAAGAGTAACCCAAAAAAAGATGATTTCGCCCGTTTTTTTTTGGGCCCTCGATTTTGAGACTTGATTGTATGCCAAATGCTGCCTTACAATGAGATATTAATCACAGAGAAGCTTTGGGTTGAGGTGATAATTGTTATCACAGCTGGAGAGATCACTTATTACGTCTTTCTTTACGCGAAAACTTGATTTTTTTACATCCAAAATGAGCGTCATTTACGTAAAACTGCGTCAACCTTTTTAAAATACCGGACCTCGCAGCCCTGTGAAATTCCATAATGAACTTTAACTCCATTTCCTTCCTCCTTCAGCTCTGATAACAATTGTCACCTCAACTTGAAACTTCTCTATAATTAATGTCTTATTATAAGATATCATTTGACGGTTCAATCTCAAAATTGAAGGCCCAAAAAATGGGCAATTTTTTTGGGTCTTTAGGACTAAACTATAAAAACAGACTATACTAACTTTTTTACACCCAAATAACGTCAAGTCGCTATCTTCTGTGATGACGACATCGGCTATACCACTGATATTTAAATATGCCAATTGGGCGTCAGCTTCATAAGGCGCTATAATGCAATCGATATTTTCATTCTGGCAATGTTTAATTAATTCTAACGCTATCTGATGAGTGATGTCCACAGCTCGTCTCAACAAATTTGTTCCCTCTGCAACTTGGCCCATTTGTATCAATTCAACTGCCTTACGACGATTCATTTCTCTGGCTCTGTAAAAACAATATACACAGTTGTGCATGTTATTTATTCATCTAGTTCAGAATTGATCTTGCATCAATTTTTATCAAACTCAAAGCAATTTTCAAACAGAACAATTCAGACTGGTTTTTTTTTAATTCATGATATTTAAATAATTCGTTTCTCGTGCATACTTGCGTCTCTTAATCTCTGTCTGCTCCTTGGCGGGCAAACGTTGACCGTCAAACACCAGGATGGGCTTTATCTTGTGTTTCAAAAGCATATTTATGTATTTCATACAATATACAACGTACCTGTAACACAAGAGAAAACGTATTGATCGCCGATTACTGTAAAAGAGAGAGACCGTCTGACATAATAAATAATAATCATTGCTTACGCGTCCGTTGCCTCTCCCATCATTAATTTCTCAGCGCAGGAAAACGCACCTTTGTGTAACCAACAATAGGAATCGATTGCCACGGTGCCGCCGGAAAATTCTTTGATATTAGTCCTTCTAGAAGATTTCTCGAGGAACGGTAGCAACCCGGTGATACCCATGTTTATGCGAATTAATTTGCAGTTTGTAACAATCAAATCGTATTAAACAACATAACACTCCACAACGCCGATCACATTGCCGCCGGATTCGCAAACACTGCGCATGTCGTTCGGAAACGAAAGGGAAGAAAAAAACCCTAAATCCGATCTTACTTCGATCACAGCGCCGCCGATGGCAAAATCCGTAGGGTGCGTTCCCACTGAGCGCGTAAGCGTCGCGTCATCCGAATTGACCAATCAAAACATTCCATTTTATTGCGTAATTTGCCGCGCGAGTCGGGATTTAATACAACGCGATACATCGATTTAAGCGCGACCGCAACCGTTACGAGTCCTGATTAGCTCGCAAATGGCCAATTATAAGATCGATTTATCGGTATTATAATTGCCTGCTGTTACGTCTCTAGGTCGGTTCGCGCTAAATTTACGAATCGCGACTCTAACCCGAAACTATCCGTGGTTTAAGAGTGTGTTCGGTAGAAAGGCCGTACGCACGTTGCGAGTATGGTGAGGAAAAAGACGCTAAGCAGATTGAAGTTGCATTCGCGAGATGGCGACGATCGTTGCTCTGGGCTAGAGAGCCTCTAATCAGAGTGGCGCCATATGAGAAGCGACGCCATTTTCTGCCAAATCGCGCGACAGAGAGAGATATAATATATCTTCGTTTATCCAACAGAGTACTGC